GTTACAGGGTCTTACTATGCAGCTCGGACTCATGGTGATCCTTCCACTTTCAGTCTTCCCAGCACTGGGATTCCAGGTGTGCGCCACTACATCTGGACTCTGTGGCTGGCTCTGCATGCCTGGGGGTGGGGCTGGCGTGGCATGTGTTGCCTGGGATTGAACCATGGTCCCCGGGCTTGCCTAAACAGGTGCTTAGTCCACTGAGGTATCTCACCGGCCCAAGCATGCTAACTTCTACTGCTGAGTTTCTCTGTGGACTCTTAGCAATTATGGAAACTGAAGCTATAGCCATTTATGTGCAGATTTCATATAAACTTAAACATTTCACTTTCTTAGGAAATAATACCTAAAGGTGGTATTCCTGGTTCCTGTGGTAAGCCTGTGTGAAATGTCAGCGTCAAGCGTCCTCTTCTTGGCGACTGCTCCCTGTCCCCATGGTTCCCTTTATCTAATATCATTCGGGTCCTTCTTTGACCTCACCGAAGGCCCCAATTCACTGAACCTACCGTTCTCTCATGGGCCATCAATCTCTTCATTCTGGTTCTTGCCTTGTATGAGAGGCAAGCCTATCATGTGGCCCACGCCCTTGAGACCATTCCTAGCCTGTTATGTGGCCCACGCCCTGGGGACCATTCCTAGCCCGTCACGTGGCCCATGCCCTTGAGACCATTCCTAGCCCGTCACGTGGCCCATGCCCTTGAGACCATTCCTAGCCCGTCACGTGGCCCATGCCCTTGAGACCATTCCTAGCCCCTTCAAATCTCCTTTTGGCTGAACCTCAACCTGGTAAACTTTTATTTATTTATTTATTTATTATTTACCAACTCATCCATTCTTCCCCTTTTCTGAGTAGACAAATGTATTTAGAGACAAATGCTAACTGTGGCAAAGGACGCATTTATGGCCACAAATCTTGAGCCAACCAATCGCCAACCTGACCATCTAAAATGACCATTTCATACTTCTGTCTCCTCAGACCGCTGACAAGCCCCCGTTTCTCTCCGCTACTGGTTTTGCTTCATACATCACCGAGAGGTAGAATCACTTGGAGTTTCCTCATTTTCTCAGTACCTGTTGCACCCGAGTGACCCCATCTTTTGTCTGTTCTCTATGCCCCTGTCTTAGAAAGCTGACCCAACTATGCCACTCAAAAGCCAGTGCAGTGGGGCACACTGGATTCCATCTGTGTCCCTCTCACCTTTCCAACAGCTCCGCTCCTGCAGTGGTCCCTTTCTTGCACTTACCCGCTTGCCCTTCTGCCATGGTAAGCATTTTCTAATGTAGCTCATCTTAAAAAGGAACAACAAGTTCTCTTGACCAATCTTAACTAAGTGATCAGGTCAGCAGAGACAGCAAAAGTCATGGAACTAGCACGCCCCCCTGACAAGGGCAGTAAGAGTTCATAACCTGAGGTCTTCCTCCCGAGAACCCAGAACTTTGACCCACAAAAACAAGAGGCAAATCCAGACTCAAAATACCTACCAGTTTGTATCAAAACCATTGAGGTCATCAAAAACCTAAGAGAAGCCAAGAAAGACAGGATGGCTAACGTGTTGCGGTCTCCTGGATAGGATATGGCAACAGGAAAAATGAAGAGGGAAGGAAAGAAAGGAGGCAAAGGAAGAAATTAGGTCAAAACTAAAGAAATCTGAGTACAGGATTTGGATAATGCACAATTATTGGCTCATTCATTGTGACATGTGTGTCACATGCCAATAGTGGGGGGGGGGCTGGGTGCAGGGAACTCTATAATATTCTCAACTGTTCTAAAGTGAGCTTATTAAGTATTAAAAACCCAAGCCCATAAATTCCCCCACCTGCGTCTTCCTCCAGCTTCTTTCATTTTGCCATCCTTGACAAGGACACTTCCTGAAAGGACTGTGCATCTCCTTGGAGCCAGTTTGTGTCTCTGTCCACAGTCAGCCTACAGGCCTTGGCTCCCCACCCAGGTGCTTCTGTGTAGCAAGGACGACTTCAGCTTTGCACACCCTGGAGGCCATGTTTCTCCTTATCTTTGCTTTTCGCTTAGTGTGCAGCCCACTGACTCCTCCTTTCGTCCTGAAGCCCTGGGCTCCTGGCCTTTGGGGCCCTACCCTCCTGGCTTCTGCTGTACACCGGAGGTTCTTCTCTATCCTAGTTTCTCTGCTCTTTGCCCTCTACTCCTGTAAGTGCATTTATTCACATCTTGTGGATTTCCAGTCCACTACCTGCCGTGGCTTCCCAGTTTGTAACTGCAGCCTTAGCCTTAAGGTGGGTCCTGTCTGCAAGACAGAATTGCTGGCATGGGGTTTCAAAGCGGAGCTGGGATTTGAACCCATGACTTTCTGACCAGAGGCTTGTGCCATGGGCTGCTAGGCTGTCCTGCCAGCCTTGCCTGGCCCCCAGGGCAGCTGCATTTGCTGCAACAGTGATTTTGTGCCTTGGTCCCTCTGGCGCATGTCTCCTGGACTGACCTCTTTCTTTGCCTGCCTCTTGTTTCTTTCTGCCTTAGCTCCCAAGACCCAGGCTGACTCCCTGGCTATGTTGAAGGGAGTCAACATAAACCCTCCTAGGAGCTGGACTCTACCCCTAACCTCTGGGGGCTCATTTGTATCCATTAGTAGTGGGTGCTTTATGAACCCACTATTAGGCTCTTGGCCCAAGCACACATCTGGGGATAGTGGAGCCTAAGGTCTATTGTGGAGACCATAGGGAAGCTTGGTCCAGGCCTGCCTCGTCCACACCATCTCATACCGGTCTAAGTCACTCAAGACGGCTTCTGTCCTTTACTAGCCAATAAGATTTTAGAGAGACAGACTGGAACTCCACTGGGGAAGTCTCATTTTAGAGCACCACGTGTGTGTGTGTATATAGTATGTGTGACTGGGGGCATACCTCGAAGCCCTTTTCTCCTAAGTCCTGGGTGGGAGTGAGGATGATCAGCCTGGGAGGGGAGGAATGAAGACTTCACCAAGGTCACTGAGCGACTAAGCAGCATCCATACAGGCCCCAGTGTTCACAGGAAGCTTTGGAACCAGCAGGAGTGACAGCTGGACTATGGCCGTTTTAGAAGAACTGAAAGTATCCTGAGGCTGGTGTGTGGGTCCCTGCCCACCAGGCTGTCCATCGCAGGAGAATCCTTCTCTGTCTGAGAGATCACCTCTATCCACAGGATGCTCACATCAGTCCTGCCACGTAATCACTGCGTGGCCTCAGGCAAGCCACTGTGTCTCCCTGGGCCTGTGTCCTCTCTAACATGAAAAGTTGTGATGGTGTCGGCCATGGTGGTTCTCAACCCCTTACAGGCTCAGAATTGGCCTGAAACACCACTTGCGGTGAGAGCTGGACCTTGCTGACTCCAGGCCATCCCTGTCTCCACAGGCACCTGGCCACTCTTAGGTCAGGCTTCCCAGGAGAAGTTGTTCATCTCAAAAAGAAGAGGATAGATGGGTCGAAGAGAGGGAAGCAAGAGCCGGCTGAGTCTTGCATACTGCACAGGAAGTGAGTCTGCGTTGCCTCTCTAGGAAAGCCAAAGTTCAGCTGTGCCTCGGAGGTCACCCAGGGAGAGGATCAGTTTGTCCTGCACGGATCAGAGGGGGCCCTCCCTCTCTAGGCTTGGGTCTGAGTCCCCTTCCCAGAGAGATTTCCTAGGAGGCCACTGGCTAGGTTGGCACAGAGGTGCCACACCCCACAGAGTGTGCCTGCCAAAGAACCCGTCTGGAGTCTGGAGGAGCGCCCACGGCTCAGGAGCTATCAGCTCTGTGCAGGGGCCCAGGCTCTCCACCCTCAGCCTGGTGGACCCACACCTACTCCTACGCCACCTGCATTGTAAAAACAAAATAGGTCAGATGCATTTAATCCAGAATCATGACTGGGTTGCTTGACACAGGACAAAAGGGGGGCTTCTGGGGTCCTCTGTCTGGCACTGAGGACTTGCAGGGCGCCATGTGCACCTCACCCATCAGGAACGATGGGTTCGCTGTGTCTCGCCTTGCTGGACTTGGAAGCAAAAGTGTGGACTGTGCTGGAAACTGTAGGGCACAGGCACAGCCTTGGGCATGGATAAAGGCATTTTGCCCCAGGATATCATTAAAGGCCCCGTATGTTCACTGAAATTTCCAGGGGCTGGGGTAACTCCCTTCTAGGCTTGCGTCCTGAGCTTGCCCACGCCCTGAGGCAACTCTGCTCTTGAAGACGGGCTCAGGTGTGTCAGCTGCAGAAGAGAAGAACGGGTGATGCTTTCAGAGAGCCCAAGATGGCAGCAAAAGTGGGAGCGGGCTGGGCCCAGAGACTGCAACCTGAAGATCCAGGCACCAAGAGAGGGGAGAGAAGACAGAATAAGCATAAAAGCCAGGAGGAGGCCTAAATGCTACTGTAATACACACAAGGGCTCTCTACTGAGAGGGAAAAAGCCCTGGCTGGGATTAGGCTCAAGGTATGCTCCTCTCAGAGATGACTGTGCAAAGCACTCAGACCAGGTTTACCTGGAAAATGAGCGCTCGTGGCACTGCTTGGGCTCAAGTGAGCTAACAAGGGTGACGGCCAGTGCTGGGCTTTGGTGGCCCTCTGTCTGAGGCCGAGGTTATCTTTGCTTTTCTTGCCCATGTTCTATCGGGAAAGGGAAGGCCTTGCTCAAATCCAGTCACCTCCACACTGACGTGTTCCTTTCCCTTGGGAACCTGCGCTCCTCACGCAGGCAGTGTGGGTCCAAGTAGCTCAGCTCGGCTCACACAGTGCTTTGTGTAGCTTTCTGAAGGCAGAGACCGTGGCTTCTGCCCTTGGGCTCCCCACAAGATCCTGAAAAGGCTGCTGAGGCAGAGAAGAAAATACCTGCAGAAATGTAGTTGCCAAGCCGCCATCATGCTCTTTCCTTCCTCCCCTGGGGTCCCGTCAGCTGGCCCGGCCCCTCTCACCAAGGTCAGTGTCAATGTCCGTGCTCTTTAAGCTATTCAAGGAATACTTTGCTTTCCATCGGTGCAGCCCCTGGCAGAGCCACGGGAAAGAAGAACCACCAGCAATGATAGGATCAGAATACTTTAATAAGATATCAGTGTCAAAATACATTTCCTTATAAAGTTAAGCTCCCATACAGTTATAATGTCAGTAGGAATTCAACAATATAATAATGTTCATGAAGTTGTTACGTTGACAGGTAAGGTTAATATGAAGCTTGGAATAATTTTTAGAGTGTTTTAGTCAAACTGCAAGGGTACAAATGCCCTGGATGCTGAGGCAACACACACAGGAAATCAAATACCAGCGGTTAGGTGTCAGTAACCCTTCAAGTTCTGCCCCTGCATGGCGGGACCCACTGTGCTGCTCAAGTGGCCTTTCAGCAGCACAGTGATTACATAATTTTTCTGATAAAATTTAGATTTCTTTTAGAAGTTAATTTTTGGCTTGGCAATAAGTCCCTCTTGGCTTACTAAATTCTCAGCTTGATATGCTTTGTGGGTATCTAGAAACTTCTTATTGTACCCACAACAGAGAAGTTCCACGTTGATTGGTATTTAAAAACCCAAAGGTGTCGTCCCTCTTACCCAGTGAGTTACAAAGTGCTCCAGGAACACTATTTTCAGTGCTTCCTACCTATACATGTCACTTCATGTGACTGACATCTCAGAGAACCTGAGGTAAGGCCCCTCCCTGGTAGGGCTGCCTGCTGCCTGCGGGCGGGGTTGCTGCACCATGGCCTGGCAGGGCTGAGGGAGGGACAGTGACCCTCCCTTGGGTGCCCTCTGTCTGGGTCGCTCCCAGGTCGTGCGCTAGGAGGATGTGGACCAGGTAATTTCCGAAGCCTTACTGGCTTTCACGAATTCCCATCCAAACCATTTCATGGTAGTTCTGGAAATAGCCAAACATGCCGCTTGAGGGCTGGATACGGTCAGGCAGCTCAGTGCACTTGAAGGGCTAGCAACACAACCTGAAGAGAAGTTTAAGCAGTCCCTCTCCCTCAGCCCATCTCCCCAGCCCCACCCCAGGTGGCAGCCGCACTCCTGCACACAGCCACACCTGACACGCGGGGACACAAGGAGGGACACAAGAAGAAGACAGCGGGGACGCTCCCACGCAGGATGTTTGCCACACCTACGGCGAATCACCAAAGCAAAAGCCAGCAGCAAGTGCAGAGTGTGAGCAGCGAGCAGCGTTAGCGCAGGCCGCGGGAGTCCTGTACAGTCCCACAGCGCTGGCAGCCCCGCGGGAGAGAGACGGACAGCTTCGGAAAGGGCTGAAAGTGATTCTGTGAGCAGGATTCCATTTCCATTTCTAAGTTTTTAGATATTACAAAGTACCCATATATATGATAAACACTTAACCCAGATATAAATTTTCCTTTAAAAAACTCAGTTATGCTTCTGAATAATAATAAAAAAAAAATCCACCCGACTGGGGGGGCACCAAGCAGTTCCAAGAAAGCTACACTGTGCAAGAAAGCCACTCTGCGCAACTTTCACAGGTAACCGTGTACGCTGGAGTTCGCCTTTCACATTGCCTTTTCCCCATAGGTCATATCAAAATTAGAGCAGTCAGCTTTAACAACAAAAAGAGTGAAATTTACAATATGGTGATAAGTTTTAAAAAAGCAAACGAGAAAATCTTTGAAAGAGAAAAGCCACAAACCACATTTAGAAAGCAAAATCCTTTAGTTTTCTTTGGCAACAACAATAACAAAAAATCTCAGTTAAACGAAGCCAAAGCTTTCCTACTGGAGAGCAAACACACCCCAGGCTTGTTAGTACGGATGGTGTGGGTGTGAGACGGAAAACTCTGGCTAATATAAATTAGAAGTCATTGAAGGTGGGGAGGGAGGATCTTATAAAATTTAAGAACATTTTCACTGATAGTAAAACATAGCAGGTAAAACAACTGTGTATTTTAAAAATAAGGACGATTAAGTGAGCATCTCAGAAAAAGGCCACTGCTCGATGACCTGGGCATGTTGGCCAGGTAAGTCATCTTGTAAAAAGTTTGCTGGTGTTAGAAATACCTAGTTGCGAAAACAGATATAGAGAGAGAAGCTGGCAGGACAGTGTCGGCAGGGGTGTGGCCGGCACAGAGCCCAGGCTCAGGTGGCCTGATCGAGGGCCCGAAGCAGGTCCCCTCCTTGCAGGAGCGTGGAGCTGCCTGGCACTGGGACGTTCACCTCACAGTCGTATCTGGTCAATTCGGGCAGCAGGTAGGGCTCAAACGAAGGCCCGAGCAGCCGGCTTGCTATGCCTGGAAGAAAAAGGCTGGGATCAAACGCTGGGAAAAGCGTGCAGGAGGAAGAGGCAGTTCCATTTCCAGGTTAGCAGGGTTGGATGGGCAGCCCTAATTTCACTAGGTTTCTCCACTGCCACCTTCCCATGACCTAATATTCCCCAATTGGGGCCGAGCAGAGACTGTATCTGCGTCTATCCCTGTCTCATCGGGGCTGAGACCCAAGGAAGGGGAAGCAGGCCGGGCAGAGGTCTCGTGAGGGGCCCTCGTGTGACTGCCCAGCCTCAAGGAAAGAGGCTCTGGGATGAGCCTGGCAAGGCCTGGGGTTGCAGCATGGAAGAGAGGGAATTGGGAACACTCTGACACCTATGCATGAGTGCAGGTGCACACATGTGCATGATGCACGCCTGCACATAACACACGTACATGGGTTCTCCTCCAAGCTGCAAGGCTCTGGAGACCTTGCACTGGTCCCCATGTGCTGCAGAGCATCCACACACACTGCTGCTCAGGGGATGCTTTCCCACCCTTGTCCACAGAGCCTCATCTTCACCGGCCTTTCCTTCCTGCCCTCCTTCCCCTCTGGCCTGTACTTTTGCAGACTGGCACCAGCACGGCATCAGTACATACTTGCTGAAGTGCCTGCCTTGCTCACTCACAGTCAGAAATTAAATATGTTGAAAAGATGAGATTGGGAGCAACTTGTGTTCAAAAGGAAGAACACTGCAGGCTACTGCATGCCGTCACTCAATTGGATACACGACACGAAACTCTCTCATTTAAACTTCCTGGCTAGCCTACCATCCAGCTGGTAGGCAGAAATTCTGGAATTTATGGCTGATCTCTGAGCACAAAAATGCAATTTTTTCTTGACCATACTGCTGAGGACAAGGGCCTGGTGTGTTTCTTTCAATTCTACACGTTATGCTTGGGCCAAACACTTTGTCACAAAGCCCTCTTATGTTCCGCACACACATTTGCTGATTGTAGCTGAGCCTCTGTTCAGCTTCTGCCTGACCACAGAGCAATGTGAAAACTAGGAAAAGACCCAGACTCTGGGGATCCTGGGGTACAGGAGCCCTGGAGGTGACCCAGTCACTGGCGAGCTCCTTCTAAAGCACTCAGAGCCATGACCTGCCATCTTGGGGTGTCTGTCTCTAGGTCCTTGTCTACCTCCCCTTCACACCTAGTAGTCTCTTCCACAGTCCCTGACATGTCACAGCCTCTGGTCCTGTAGCACCCAGGCTGTTCCTTTTTTTCTAAAGACATGCTCCCAGCAGTCCCCAGCCTTCAGCTCACTCAACAGTGTGGGGCTCGGAGACTGGACCAGAGATACTCTGCAGTCCTGGGTTTCTCCAGCCGGAGTCCATGTTGGATATTCTAACATTTCTAGCCATGTCTTTGTGTCTGAGAGGTGGTGGGTTGAGAGCTGAGCCCCGGGAGGAGGCTCTTTGCAACCTGCTGCCCAGTACTGCCCTTTACCTGGCCTCAACCCTGGGAAGCCCAGCATCTAGCACTTAGTATAGCACCCGAGGACAGCAGGGACTCTATGAAGACAAGTGGTTTAATTCTGAAGCTTTCCCAAACACCGATCTATGCCCTGTGAGGTGTCCGTCCCCCCTGCCCTGCTGAGCCCAGCCCCCTCACCTTGGCAGCCCTGGGATGTGGGAAGACCCACCTGACGCCTTGTGAGTGGGCGGCAGGCTATAGTCCTGGTAGGGGGCAGCGTAGCACTGGGGGGAGAACCCACTCTTGGCGTTCTCCCCTGGGCTTACAGCAGATGGTGGCTGACGGGCTGGCAGGTGTCGTAGGGGTTGGCCCAGGCCCCGCAGGGGGTTTTTGTTGAATTCGTCTGAAATATCAAGGTTGGGGAGTTAGGGGTCGCCTCTGACAGAGGGGAAAGACGTTGGAAGTCAGAAGTTTCCGCCAGCCCATCCTAACAGGCTCAGGGCAGGAGCTAGGCAGCTCCCGTGTACCAGGCCCTCCACAGAACCCAGGCCACCCACCTGGGGAGACGTGGAGACTTCTCAAGGACTTGTCAGGCACCAGGGGGCTGGTTCCCCCCTGGAGGCGCTTCATACGTTTCCACAGCAAGTGTGAAGTGCTGCTGCCTGGAGGATCCCCCTGCACAGGAGAAGGGCAGGTGTGAGGGGAGGGGCTGCCAGGGCCACCCTTGGGTCCAGGGCAGGCGCTTGGCGAGGGGTGACTACTGCGCTATCAGCTTACCCCACTTGAGTCCTGGAAGGCTCGCTCCTCATACTCCAGCTGCCGCTTCAGCTTCAGCTTGTTGGACAGGGCTACCATGGCCGGGCTCATCACATCTGGGCCTCGGGGCCCGCAGCCCTTTGCAGACCTGCCAAGCCCAAGAGAGTGGGCCGTGAGGAAGCCTGGAGCCCAACTGCCCCACGTCTTCACTGGGCCTGAAGGGCAGAGTCTCTCAGGGCTGAGGTTTGGGGAGCTTCCAATCTGCAGTCTGGATAAAAGCTCATCCTGCTCCAGGCCTCGTGCCCCCTAAGGCTGCCCCCGAGCTGAGCTCTCAGAGTTTGAGGAGGGCTGGCTAGAGCATGAGAAGCCTCCCTGGGGCCCCAACTGTCCCACCAGTGGGTACCTCTCTGTCCTCCCCGGCAGTGCAGCCACTTGTGTCTGTCACTAACCTCATCTTGAACATGGAGATGGCTGAGGCAGCAGGGTGCCCCAATGGTGATGTCCCCAAGGTCTCAGGGTGCGGATCCCCAACAGGCCATGATGTGGGCCCAAACTGTAATGGTGGGTCTGGGGGCCACTGTGTGTTGGATCTGCCACCCATGGAAGAGAGAGGGGTGCTGGCTTGGCCATAGCACGACGGTGAGGGCCCCTTGCTCCCAGCATCGAAGAAGATGGAGGACATGGGCCGGTGCTCCGGCTCTGTCTTCTCGCCCTCCAGCTGTTGCCGGTACTTGTCCAGGAGAAAAGGGCTGGGACAGGCCACGGGCACTAGTGGCTGGAAGATGCTTGACATGGCACTGAAGCAGGGCTGGGGGCTGGGCTGCAGGTTGTCGGGCAGGTGTGGCTCCTCGGGGCAGATGGGGCTCAGCTGGAAGTCCTCTCCATCCATGGGGATGTAGGGCGCCAGCGTCTCCAAGTCCAGCTCATTGAAATCCGTCTGAGGAAGGGTCAGGCAAGTGCAGGGAGCCCCGTGAGAGGCCGCCTTCCGGCCCAGTCCCTCACCCGCCTGCCTTTCAAGCACAATTCATGTCACCCCCTGCTCCCTCTGGCCAGCTGTGGTGCAAGGGCTTCTCCTTCCATGGGTTTTTTCCCACTTCATTTGCCACCTCAGCAAACCCACGCCTCGAGGAGCCCAACCCCTGCCCTCCCAGCCAAGTATACCCCGTGCAGAGTCAGCCCTGCTTGCTCTGCTGCAGTAGCTGCCCTTCTGCCTGGCTCAGGCCGTGAGCACATGGTGGCACCTGGGCACAGAAGACAACTTGTCTTTGTGTCTCTCATGGCCAGACACAGCCTAGACCCAGATGCTCTGGTATACAGCTGGCTCCCAGTGGCAGAGGGGTTTCTGCTCCCAACAGCAGGTGCCCGGAGGCCACCTCTCATTCCCAGTGTCCCCAATGGCATCCCAGGGAGTGCTCCCAAGCAGAGACATGAAAGTTTCCACCTCCCGAGACTGAGCCCAGCTGAAGGTGCAGGTCAGTTCTGCCCACAGCTACAGGCCCTAGCACAGGCAGGTGGTTCCAATTAAGTGCTAAAAACTCCCCTGGGAGTCCTACGGAGCATGGGAAACAGTGATGACAAGTTTTGTGGAACCACTGGACTTTGTGCTAGGTAGGATGAAGGTACAAGGTGGAAACGGAGGCATAAGCCACACTAAGACACACAGGGGCACATGGATCCTCTCTGAGTTTTGTAACAACTCTCTGCCAGCCATCTACCTCTTCCATTTGTGACATTTGTGCAAGAACATGTGGCCTTACAAAGTGACCATATTCCTGAGAAGCTGTATATAAATGAATAAGGTCAGAGGTTATCTTAAATGTATTTCAAGTAAAATGAATTAATTTTTAAATTGTAAGATGAATGTGTTTTCGAAGAAGGTAATTGGCCCCTATGTTGACGAACTTCTTTGGTACTGGGGGTTGAACTCGGGACGTGTGCTTGCCAGGCAGGTGCTTATGTCACTGAGCTATCTCCCCAGCCCCCTGGCCCCTGCATTGAGAAGTGTCTTGAGTCTGGACATGTTTTTAGGCAGCGGTCTCCCTTGAAGGTTCAGTGCTGTAGCTGGGATTTGCAAAGAGGACAGAGTCGTTATGAGTGTTAAACATGGTAGCTCTGACTCTGACACAGGCAATGCAGAAGGTGGGGGGGGGTGGTCAGAGAATTGGCCAGCAGGCTCCGAGTCCTGGCACCCTGGGCCACCTGGGGGCCTCAGGCACGCCTCCCCAGCGGGCTTTGCCACACAGGTTTACAGGAGGCTTTCACACGGTCGGCCGCTCGGCTGCCTACCTGGGTGCTGCACTGGTCCTTGGCCTCTGTGTCCATGGCAAACAGCTTCTCGATCACTTCAATCTTCAGGTCATCCCCCAGGGATGTGTAGTAGTCTTCAGGGCTGCTGGGCTGGGGGCCAGGAAGGAGGGGGGACCCAGTCAAGACCAGGGCCCCATCTCCCTCAGTCAGTGTAGAAGCAGAGCCCCACCCGGCCCCACTCAGCTCCATCCCACCCCATGTCTGTAAAGCGTGCTGTGTGAGCCAGGTCACCTCATCAACTCTCGGAACGCCAGGCCCCTCTGAGGCTCAGAGGCTTTGGCACTTGACAGGATGTCTGGAGGAGCAAACTGAGCAAAGCAGGGCCACCAGGTCTCCACGCAGGGACTGAGTGGGATGCCCGAGGGCTAGCCACTGTGCCACAGGCTCTGGGCAGATGCTGAAAGCCAGCGAGGGGCTGCAATCCCTGGTGGCGAGTGTCCTGGCTTTGCCAGGGCTGGGAGGTGGTTGTAGTGCAGCCCCCACGTTGGGCTTTCTCTTTAGCAATGTGGCAGTGCTAGAATGACCTGGGGCGTGGGTGGGGGGACTCACCGTGGAACAGCCACTGCTGCTTGTGGCACTGGGGGTGCTGCTCCCTGGGGCCGCCACCTGGGGCACACTGAAGGCTGGCAGGCTTCCAGCCTCGCTTTGCGCAGTATGGCTCCTCACCTCAGCAGCCCACGGCTGGCCTGGCGGCAGGATGGCCTTGCCAAAGGCTGAGGACTCCTTGAAGGTCTGGTTCCCTGTGGAGACAAGGGCTTGCCTGATGAACACCCGCAGTGCTTACGCTGGCCTACAAGGGTCCTAACAGCATGCCAGGGGCCCAGCTGGGAAGGCTGGCCTCTGACGGGGGCAGGGGTGCGGGTGTGATTCCTTGTACAGACTTCCCAAAGTGCAGGCCTGGAACACAGAATCTTCAGCAGCTTCTCTTCCCAGGAGAGCAACATGGCATCCTTCAGCATTTTGTGAGGACAGATCTGAGGTGGTGTGACTCAGGGGCAGGGGTACATGGGGTTCTCCTGTGCCCAGCAAAGCCTGCATAGATGATGTGGACAATGTGGGCATGGGCTGGGGCGACTCTGGATTGGGAGACGACGTAGCCAGGGAGCTGCTATGGCAATGGTCAGAGCCCCTCAGCTGGGAAGCACCTACCAAAATCCAGCGAGATGATGGCGTCCCCAGGCGTGGGGGCCAGCTGGGCCAGCTCCTCTGGTTCCTCCTTCAGCTTGGTGAACAGGAAGTTGCTCTTCTCCGATGCAGCCATCTCGTCACTACTGTCAAAGATGCTGTTCATGGCCATCACATGAGGCTTGAACAGGGATTCGGTCTGGTCCATGGAGAACACCACGTCATTCTTCTCGATCTCACTGGGGAGATGGGAGAGCCCTTCAGACCTTCCATATTTTCTAGCAAAACTCTCTGGTTCCCTCAGACCCAGGGAAACCCTGACGGCCAAGCCTCTCAGGCCGAGGATGGGCAGGGCACCGTGTGTTGGCCTTTTGTGCAGAACCGCACTGTGGAAGTCTGAGTTGTAGAGGCAGTGAGGAGAGGGAAAGCTCTGAGCACACATGTCTGGGTGCTGTTCGCACTGAGCTGAGTGGATGCTCCTGCCTGTACGTGTTTCCCCTGAGCCGTGACTTCTGGTGTCCCCTCAGGTATTAGAGGGAAGGTGTTGCACCCACACTTCTGTCCGTTTCCTCATCCAGAAGTTAAGTGACTACTGTGTGCTATCTGCTGTCCCCGCCATGTCAGAGACATGGCCTAATGACAGATGAAGCGGAGGGGCCTAAGACTTCCCAGGGACCCCACTATTCCCAGGAGCCCCGTGGGAGGAGGTCCTCTAGTCCTAAGAACTCGCACTGACAATGGCTGCTGGATACATGGTCCCATTCTTGGAGGCTGGAGTTCCTGGGCCCTTCCACACCCAGCCAGGCCCCGGCTCTCGCTACTCACCTCAGGACGTAGTTGACACACATGATGCACTGGGGCTGCAGGTTGCGAGGGTTGTAGATGACGGTCCCCTGCGTCTCCAGCCACACGTAGCCCCCATGCTTGGCGAGCATTCGGTACTGGCCACTCACCACCTGTCCCTTGGTGCACACTGGTGGGGAGGGAGGGCCAAGGTCAGAGAGGTGGGGGAGGTCAGGCTGCAGAAGTGGGAAGTAGGTGCGAGCGGGGAGGGAGCTTAGAGATCGCCGTGCCAGCCCTTCACTTGAGATGGAGGAAACGCAAGTTGGAGAGGTTCGTGACTTGCCCAGGGCTGTCCAGGGAGGGAGAAATCCACTCCCTGTGCCGCTTCTCCGCGGCCTACCTCCAGCCCTAACCCCACTGGCACTCAGACCACCTTGCTGAGCAGCACAAATGAGAGCAGCACATACCCTGGTTACCTCACCAGCCCGGGGCAAGAACGGCCCTGCCCCTCAAGCCCTGCACAAGGTGACAGGCTTGCATGCAGCCGGCAGAAAGCCTGATCTAAAGGTCGCCCTCTGCAGCAGACCCCTCACCACAGCCTGCTTGTAGGCACAGGCTTAATAACTTCCTTTCATTTTTCCCCAAGGTCTTCTATCAGCCTGCCACTTCTGCGGCCAGGCCAGCGGAGGTACAAGGCAAACCGCTCTTGGGCGATGGGTCCAGAGAGGGCTGGTGGTAATAAATCCTTCATCCTCCTTCTCCCAACTGCTCGGCGAGACTCCCTGCTTGTGGCTTCTTTCCTCTTCTACATTATTCTGTTCATTTAAAATGTATATTTACTGTTTAAAAACATGAGCAGAAGGGACCCTACATCCAGACTGGGGAATTGATAAATCTCTTTACACTCGGGTCTGCTGATGTGAGAATTTCCAGTGAGACCATGTCTCAAAAAACCCCCGACCTTTGAAATTTAATTCAATGCACTTGTTTGAAGCACGCAGTGCAATGGATTTTGGCAAATGCATGCACTTAAGTATCATAATGGTGAAGGCACGCGCACTTCTCGATCATTCCCCCCAAAGCCCCTGGCGTCTCCTCACGGCTGACCCCTAGCTAGTCCCACCCTGGTTCCGTACAACCACTGACCCATTAAATTCTTTATCGTCATATACTGTCTCTTGTAGATTTCCACGTAAATAGAGTCATACAAGAGCACGTTTGGTGTCTGGACCTGTCAAAAATCAGCGTGCTTCAAGACTCAGCACATTATTGTAGTTACTGGTGGCTCGTTTCTTTTCATTGCTGAGCAGTATTCCACAGTAGGGATGCTGGACCTTAACTAGCTTATCTATGCATGTGGACATTTGAGTTTTCAGATTTTGGTCATTATAAGTGAAGTTGCTATAGATGTTTGTGTATAAATCTTTGCAAGGATATATATTTTAATTTCTCCTGAAGTGCAATTGCTAGATTATGTGGTAAGTGTAAGCACACATTATAAGGAGTTACCAAATTATTTTCCAAAGCGATCACATCGTCTTCACATTTTTCACAAAATCCTGGGCCACAGGGAGGACAGGTATCATTTTGTTTTACAAAAGAAAGACCTGAAGAGTCATGACTCAGTTCACATAACACGGGATGAGGGTGACCGAGGTTGGGATGAGCAGCAGGTCCTGCGGCTCCTGGAGCAATATTCTCTCACTCCATTAAGTTCACTGTCCTAAGCCATCCTGGATTCCTTGATCAAATCAGCCCCGTGTGTTGTTCTGTGTCCCCCTCTCTGTGCCATCGAGGTTCTGCTGCTGCAGCAGGTGGAGGCGTGCACAATTTCAAGCACCTGGCATTAATTATTTAGACAGTTCTTAATGCAAGAGCCCTTATTCTTTTTGATTGAACAGCACAGCAAGCAGAGGCTGTAACTGCATTTCTAGTAATTGCGGGCAAGGGCCTGCTCTGTCAGCAGAATATAATTAACGCCAGCTTTCTAGTCATCTCATTAACGCCAGCCATGGGGAGGGGCCTGCTACTTAGTAGGGCGATAGGCTCTTTTTATGGCCTTTAATCTTGTTTTCCTAAGAGCACATGTTCTGAAACAACAAAGAGAAACCAACCCCAGGCCTTCCACTGAGAGTGACAATGTATAATTTATTAATCCATTTGAAAATGATGGCTTTCAATTATCTCAACCTGGTTGAAGGCTGCCAGTCATTTCAGTGGCTAACAGTGACAGATGTGACACACACGTGTGACAATGCAGGGCCTTGGCGTGTAAACTTGGGCCAGTTTCAAACCTAGACCACCAGTTCCTGCACAAGTGTGAATCTGTGTGCAAATTTGTTAACTCAAATACAAATCACACCCACCCACCCACCCACCCATACTCTCATACTCTGGGGAGAATGACTTCTGTGATGACTGACATTAACCCACTTTCTTCCCACGCAGACTGGGCTGTGCTGGATGTGGGCTTGTAGGGTGAGCACCAGGCTCTGAGTTCAGGGCAGCTTTCATTGGCTATGATGGAGAAGACAGGAGCCTGTAATTTCTATCTGGGCCCTGAATAACCACTAAGCGAGTCCCGTGTTGACACACGTGGATTCAGTAAACAATGGCAGTGGCAGCTACAGCAGCAACAAAGCGACAAACCCCCAGCACTTTTTCTAGGAACCAGTAGAGAACTGAGAGGGCTGGGGCCCATTTTATAGATCAAAGGGGTTCTAAGAAGGGAAAATCTTTTTTTGTGTCTGGCAAGAAGTCTTGGATGGTAGCTTCTACTCTCTTTTCTCCACAAGATAAAGTACAATAGCATTCCCAGAATTCTCAGAGAAGCTGTCCATTTGTTCTCTGCATTGGCTTCCCCCCTTGGTTTGGAAAGCTGGGCTTATCTAAATTTTACATCTTGGTTGTCACTGACAAAAGATCTACAAAGTGTGGTACAGGGCTGCGGGGTAAATCCTGAGGGTACTTGACTGACCATATCAGATACAAAAGTTACATTTCTTGTTATATAGGTCTTGCTCTATATCTTGGTCTTAACCATCCAGAAGAAAAGTATAAAAACGAGGTATATAAAGTAAAGCCATATTAATATGATGAGCTGTAAGAGGCTCAAGTCAATAACTTCTGAGGATAACCCACTAATATTATAGACTGCTAGACAGTGTTGGATTGTTTAGCTGCACTCAAACACCTTAGTATTTAGATGCCAATGGAATATTCACCTCTGACAGGACTAAACAAAAAAAAGGGATACAAAGGAAAGATTGTTTTGTATTTATATATACAAAATAGGATAGATATACAGCTACTTTCGCTTAATTCAATGAGAAGCAAGAGGTGTACTAATAGTGTTTGGACAGGATATCCTGTCTGCTTCTTGTACTATGGGTAACCACTAGGAAGATAACAATGTACAATGTATTGATTATCAAAAGTGTTCTATTATTCAGCTTTAAAACTGTCTCATTCATATTTATTTCTCAATAAAATAATATAAAAAACCCAAATAAGATTTTTTAAAAAATCCTTCCCTTTATAACTGAGCATGCCGTATAAATCAGTTCAAATTTAAATTTTATCTTTATTTGTTCTATTCACAAAAGTAATCCAGAGCAAATCTGTAACATTTCAACAATGATGTGCTCTTTGGATGAAGCTAAATATACATTAATTAAGTAAATAGAGATGTTTTCATAAATTTTCAAAAAAAAAATAAATTTTACATCTAATGGCGCAGAGGTCCAGAAGGCTAGGCCTCAGGCAATGAGTCCTTCACCCAAGGCCTGCAGGACCCTGCCAATCCTCCTTTAGAGCAGGACCTGCTCCTATCAGAAATGCATGCTTCCCAAAGGGAAGCCTAGAGCTGTACCCTACAACCTCAGAGCTGGGGCAGGTTAGCGTTGGGTCACATGCCTGGAACACACACACTGCCTCTGGGTTCCTGAGTGGACCTACACCTAGGGCCTGGGTGGGTTTTTTTTGGCTAGGAACCACAGTGAAGAGCAGTTCTGAGATATCACCGCGGTCCCTGTTGTACTGTCAGACTAAACGCAAAAGCCACCAGGAGGAAACAGGGGAGCCAACGAGAAACAGTGACCTTTCCATGAGTCCCCTGTGCTCCCGTGTAGCAGTGGGCTGCCAAACCGTTGACTGCTCTGAGCCTCAGCTGTCCTGACCCAGTGATGGAAGGATGGATTTAGGAACAATGGACAAATAGTGCCCATTTTTTTTTTTTTTTTTTTTTTTTTTTTTTTTTACTACCAGTAGCGCCCTGGAAATCTTCTCAGACGTGCTGATTTTCACCCTTCTACACTCTTCCAGCACCTCTCCCTGCACCAATATGGGCATACCCGGAATCTAGTCTTTCCCAAATATTACCATTTAGTGACACCAAGGTTAAGGGTGTCAGCCACCGAGCTTCCAGGGAAAGCCGTTCGTCTTTTCCCTTAGAAATGAGAATCCACCAGATGGAGATCAACTCCACCAATTCCTGTGGTCCCAGCAAGTTAGGCCCAGAGCACAGGGTGTTTGCCCAGAGTCCTTGTAGGCTGATGGTACCCACATTCAAGCACAGTGGCCTGGATCTCTTGCAAACCGGAAGCCTGAGTGGAAGCCTGGTCAGAACAGTCCTGCCCTCTATGGTAGGTGCAAGCCAAGCATGGCTATATAAATTCAAATTAAAAATTCATTTCATCTGTTGCACCAACCCTATTTCAAGTACTGCATAGGCCACCCGTGGCCTCACAGATGTAGAGCAGTTCTGTGGCAGAAGGTTCTACCGGCCAGCCCCCTCCTCCATTCATTATACTCAATTTTCCAGGCAGTAGAGCAGTTTTGGTCCCCAGCACTGTGTGCCCCGCAGGCTTAGCCCACCTTCCACTCTCCACACTGCATGCCTCAGCATGGTGTACCCCTGGAGGAAGGCTTTTGCTAATTTCCATGAAGTGTCACCAACCCAGGCTGGCAGCAGCCTGGCTCCTAGCCATCATGAAGGAATGAGGCTTACTCCTCCCATACGGCCGGGTATCTGTGGGAGGAGGAGGAGGCCCAGGCTTCTGTCCCATCAGTCACATGCCACCCTCAAGGCCAGGTTCATGGACCCAAGGAAGCCCCACGGGGCACTGCCGGCACTTACAGTTCTGGTGACTCTTGGTCATGTTCTCAGAGTCCAGCGCATGGTAGAACTCGTAGGCCGAGCGGCCGAGCAGCTCCTCGGGGTGGTAGCCAATCAGCTCCGTGATTCTGAATTAAATAATGGCAGTAAGGAAAACAGCACTGCGCATGCGCATGCAGCCAACTGCAGCCGGTAAAAGGCACGTTCAGGCGGACACAGCGAGCTTCCTGGTCGTGTATACACCAGCAAAGCCCATCATTCTCAACTTGTAATCTTGAGTCCCTCCAAATCCCCACTGTTCTGCCCGCACTGGAATCACAGCTGAGAGGAAAGTAAGGCAGAGGACGCCCTTGCCCCCACCCCACTGCACACACGACAAGGGACTAGACATCCAGGAAGGTAAGCAATTGGATTGTTGTCCACACAAGTGTCCAGGGACACAGCAAGCAGGAGACAGAAGCCTTCCGGCTCTTGGCTCAAGCTCCTTCTAGTAGCAGGTGATGCACATACAAGGGGGAGATTGGCAGGCCCTGGGGGGCACCGGCAGGGAGCTGCCCAGGCTGTCCCTCCTTAGGTGTCTGCTTTGGCTGCCTTCCAAGGCTGCTTCACCAGCTCTTCTAGCTTTGGAAGGCAGGAGCTGCTGACTGGAAGCTAAACACAGTCCCTTTTGCAGAAGCGGGCCTTGTGGAAGCTCGGCCAAGGTAGAACACGGTTGTTCCCAAAGTCTCAGTGTTCATTTTAGAAGGTGCCTCACTTTTACAGGGAGTAGACAGGGAAAGGGCAGGTGTGGATAACCATGAAGAGTCGCTCAACCTCCTTAGGACCTTTGCTCGAAAGTGGAATCATGCACACACACCAAGAACTGCAAGGCTGGCCACTTGCCCATGTCATACCTAAGTTATCATTTTTCACCATCTTTCTTATTTACGGGTTTCTTCCTATGTGTTAATTGCCTCGCTAGCCTACCTATCACAAGTCAGCGGGTGCTAGAGGCCCGTGACCTTTGGGTCTGGTCTTGGCCTGCATCCACTCAGGGCTAAGAAATGGAGAGAAGGACAGGGGCAGAGAACAGAGGCTGTGGGGCCTTGGCTTCCTAGCTCTGTTCTCAAGCCTCGCCCTCTCCACACAGGTGACCTTGTATCCGCCTGTTAGATTCACACATCTGCAATTTGCCTAAAACACAGTTCCCACTCTGCCTCTCCTCTCCCTTAAGCATCTCAGCTTTCCCTACTGCCAACCACCTGAGAATAGACCTTGACTGCCACATGCCACCCAGGATCCTGTGCCAGTCTTCTACACCATCTGATTTTCAGTGCATCTGTAGCATACTGTGTGCTGCTCTTGAGGCCCCAGTCCACACACCACCCCTTGTCCCCTTCTCCAGCTCAATTCTGCTGCTGGCTTTTGGTGTCTCCACTGCCCTCTCCAAGCTCCGACTCCTACAAGGCCAGCCAGAGACCTCTCCCTCTCCAGTTCTACAAGCTCTCACCATTTGTCCCTTTGAAGTCCAAAGGGCACACACAGTGCCATCAGGAAGCATGCATTTGTCTCTTCACCTCTTCTGCTGTCATGCCCTCGACTGGGGAGGTGAGGTGGGGGGGACAGGTCACCTCTTCTTTGTCTCCCCTAAAGTGGCTGCTTGGCAAGCACTCGAGGAGCTTCCCAGTGGATTGAATCTGTCTTTGGATCTGAGGTACTGTGAGAGCCTTGTCCCAGCACCTCTGAGGAACTTGGGCACTAGTGACTCACTTTTCTACCTTGAGTATGATGAAATGCCTCAATGCTGCTCCTGGTGACAGAGGTGTGCGCGCACACACCACACACACACACACACACACACACACACACACACACACACACAGAGCCTCTGCTGCCCCTCCTAGTACTCAACCCTTGCCCTCCATTCTATAAGGTCTGGGATGGAGTAAGCAAAGGAGAGGGAAAAAGGTCCCTGGCTGGATGAGGCACTGCAGGTTGAAGCCTATGCCAAGCAAAAGAGAGTGCACCAGAGATGGGATGGGAAGCTCAAGGCCCAGCTGACATGGGCCAGCGGAGATGATGGATCCAGACAGGCGCTTGGGCCAGCCAGCCAGGCTCCAGCGAGACTTGTCGTCATCCCCTTAGTTGGTCTCTAATCTCACTGGCCACGTTCGGTGCTGCCTGACCCAGCAGTGCCTGGGACCAAACAAGGAGGTGGAAGAGTGCTGGTCTTCCCAAACAGCTCCTCTTCTGTTTCCTTTTCCTGATGCTGGAGAGTGAGTCCAGGGACACATACCGCTAGGTAAAACCACTTCCACAGAGCTGCATCCTTAGGCTTTTAAAATTTTATGTGGATGGGGTCTCGCTAAATTGCTGGGGGGCTGGTCTCAGACTCTCAATCCTCCTGCCCCAGCATCCCAAGTAGCTAAGATTACAGCTGTGCACTAACGTGACCAGCTCGTAACAGCTTTTCTTTTGGGTCAGGTGCATTTCAAGCTTATCCTGGGGTCAGAACTGCTCCTGGTGGCCCTGCCAATGCCAGGCTAGCCATTCCAGGCTCCCTGATTTGCCAGATGAACTGCTGAGCTCTTTCTAGCCAGATCTAGAATTCTCTCAAATAGGAGTCAGTCTGTGGGGCATTCTAGGAAAGACAGGCTCCTGCTTCCAAAAAGAATTAAGTTTCCTTTCAAGATTAGGATCTTTAAATCAAAAAGGTTCAAAGTAAATATTATAAGCAGCCTTACAATAAGATGATTTTTAATTTAATTAACATATCTTCTACTCATGAGCACACAATGGGTATGTTTTGGAAGTCGACAAACAAACCTAGCTTTCAGAATCGCCAGTTATCTTCCCAGAAGATGATTTCATTTATCTTGTCAACTAAAATAAATATTTAATGTCTTTCTTCATTCCTTAAACAGCCTACTATAATACCTGGGAAGTACCCATTCCCCAACCACCACTGAAGAACATTCGAGTTGTCCAGCTTCACAAAGCCAGGAAACCCCAACTTCAGGCTGATGGTCACTTGCCTCCCTCCATCGGCGCAGAGACGCCAGTGGGGAGGTGAACGAACCCCGCTTGCTTACAGGCTGGCTATCACAGCATACACGGGCCGGCCTGATCATTCCTCGGAGGGCCGGGATAACAGATTCATCTGTCCTGCCCACCAGGGCAGGGAACCATTATTTGTTTTCTTCCCAATTAAGAATCCTTGTTTACTGGAAAACAATCAGTTTAGGGTGACCCACAAAATTAAAAGTCAACTCAGTAGGGTTCTTCTGTTCTAAGAGGAGAAAGAAGTGGAAAAGGACTTTGTGCACCAGATTTTCAACTAGAGACAGGATAATCGAATGTAGAAAAAGACCAAAGATGAAGTAAAGAGAGACAGAGAAGTCAGCCACAAGAAGGTGAAAGGGAAAAGGAAAAAATACAGAGGAGAGGGGCATGTAGTTCTGAAATTACTGTTATGCCAACCAAATGTGTGGGCACATCTCTGGACCTCAAGAGTGTGAAAGCCCTTCAAGGTGAAATGCGCTGTTCACTGTGTCTCAGTTGCTCTTTATCCTTAAAAACATCCAGAAGAACTGTTCAGAATGGATCACTTGTAGCCAAGGGCCAGGAAGGAAATTCTGCTCTCCCTGCTGTCAACCCAAGAGGCAAAGGAAAGCCTGCCATAGGCCCCAGGTGGCAGGATTTCTCCCCAGTCTGGACCACCGCAGCCTGCACCTGAGCTCCATGGATGCAGATGCCACTGCTGGGGATAAGCAGGGCCTGGTGCCAGCTTTTACCCCGATTCTCTACAGGAGCAAGGGCTTTGCTAAGGAAGTCAACCATGTGAACAAGATGCCTAGAGAATGTTCAGACTATTTAAGAGGATAAAAGTTTTAAGCACTTCCAAACTACCTGTTTTCCAAAGAACACATTTGCCGGTACATACTTATACTGAAGACTGCTTTTTCCTCCTGTCCCCCGGCAACCCTTGATCCTCTCATCTATGCTTGGGGTGCCCTTGGGGGGAATTCACACACAGGAAGGTAGATCTGGCTCCAGCCTGCCATGAGTACCACCAAATGGCCCTGTCATCTTTCATTATCTGAAAATCCACAGGCAGTAAGAAGAAAACTATCTTGAGCTAGAACAAGCAAGCAGTGGAGCAGAGAGGGGAATGGCTTTTGAACTATAAGGCCTATTAAACTTTGAAACAAATTCCAGAGAGAATTCATAGTCTCCTCTTCCAGGAGTACTCTGAGGTGAAGCAGGGTAACACACAAGCACTCTTTATACGCAGCGTCAGGTTGTGTGGCGCCCACAACATCGTCCACTGTGCAGAGGCCGAAGGAACACACTGAAAGATCCTTCTAGCTCAGGGATCCGAAGAAGCACACAATGCTCTCTGGCTTACGATGTGTGGAGAAAGACTCGTGAATAGGCCTACAAAAATATTTATGCCGTATTTACAACAAAACTACATGTAATATATTAATATACTTCAGATTAATATATTTACATCTTTTGAAACGCCCTTGAATCTAGGGTGGCATCCTTCCTTTGGTAAGTAGCAAAATAATTCCTTAAATATATTCCTTTATATCATACTGAACACAACCTTTTACTATTAATGCGTGCGAGGTCTGTTTTAGTTTTGGACCTCAGAGCCCCTTCCAGCGTCTTGATACACGCGCCTTGATCTCCCCTTACTTTACCATCTTTACTATTCCTAGCATCTTCATATGAAACGAATTCACTGTAATTTCTCGGTCTTTCCACCACATCTTGGGATTCGGTCACCTGCACTTATTAACTGGTTGCTCTTGCTTTCATTGCTGCCCTAATCCATTTATAAACTGGGTCTGCCGGTCTTCTCTCTGTGAAGATTAAATGTTTACGAACTTGACATTTTTACTGTACTTTTGATACCTATTGTCCCCAGTAACACTGACCCTATCAGCATAGTTTGCTTTCATAATTTAGTTCTAGAATACAGGAAGACTCAACGCACATAATCCCAGGTGGGATTATGGGTCCATTAGAAAGATAGTGCTATCCTCCACAGCTACCCTCTCCCACCACCAGATGGCACCACCATATGAATTTAAGAACCACTCCACTTTTAAGTTGTTGAATTTGTATTTTTCTGGGGGGCAGGGTGAGAGAACAGGGTTTTGCTATATATTCTAGGTTGGCCTTAAACTCATTATGTAGCTCAGGCTTGCCCCACGCTCATGGAGATCCTCCTCGCTCAGCCTCCCAAGTGCCAGGATTACAGGTGTGAGCCACCACACCTGGCAAATGACACTACATTTTAAAAACAATTCACCTACTTGTGAACATTTGCCTGCCTTTTGGGTGAATGGGATGATTGATTTTGTACCATCCAGTGTGGTTTCATGAAGTTGCTTCTGCCTTCAACCCTACGCTTCTGGAGATCAGAAATCATCTCCTCTTTAATATGAGAGTCTGCCACAAGGTGAGACGCATAACGGGTGTTCAATCAATAAGCCTCGTGAAAGGGTTGCTCAGTGTTTCAGGAAACAGTGTAACACTTAGGTTTGAGTGGCAGGGGTCGATCAGGAATTGCTCTGATAACACAGCAGTCTTTTTGACCCAGCTGTACCCAGAGTGCAAGCTTGAGCGAGCACCCTTAATCCAACATGATGTTCACAACCTTTCAGATTGCAGAGCATTTTCGAGCTTTGATTTTCAGGTTAGGGCTACTCAACCAGTAAAGTCTATGCAAATATACCCAAATCCAAAAAACCCTCTGAAATTGGAAACTTTTGGTCACAAGCATTTCTGATAAGAGATACTCAATCTGTAAACCTAAATGTAACATGTTGCATGCATTTTAAAATTTTTATTATGGCTCAAACTATCAAAATTATTATTACTGGGGGGTGCCGGAAATTGAACTCAGGACATTGCACTTGCCAGGCAGACACTGTGTCAGTGATGTGCCCAGCTCCAAAATGATTAATGCAGGACTTCATATGCTCCCCTGGCCCTCTCCGAAGGGGAGGACAAGCATTCTGAGCCATGTGCACTGCTTTCTTCAGTTTTGGATGATTGCGAATGGGCCCCTGAGGCTCCCTCAGGAGGACACCTGAGTTCAGCGCAAGGCTAGCATATGCCTTCCGCACTCTCTCTGCCCTCGCCCCATTTTGTCTTCTCTTTGTCTCTTTTCATGGTGCTGGGGCCCCAACCCAGGGCTTGCTGGGCTAGGCCAATGCTCTGACGGCCCAGCCCAGCCCTGATTTTGCTTTTCAGATCTGTGATCTCAGTATAACTATTAAAGGGCCTCCAAAGGGATTCTGTGCACTTGACGTTGCTTTCTTCAGTCTTTCTAGCTTTTTAGGTGGGAACACAGCCCCCTTTGTGGAAACCACAGCCCCTTCCCACGTCCGATGTCATTCAGTCCAGTGAGTTGCCTGATTAAAGTGGGAGCCCTATCCCCCCTCACCTCCCCATTAGTTGTCATTTGCAGGTACTGGTTTTTGAAGCATCTTTCTCAGTAGAGTATGAAGGTCAGTATGTGTGCATGTGTGTGTGTGTGTGTATTTATGTATGTGTGTGTTCAAAGAGTGAACAAAAACATGCTAACAAAACAAAAACAATTCAAGTCCTCATCAAAATAACTGAGAAATAACACGGATTAAGGACTTAAGAGTAGTCACTTCATAAACTCTCTAAGCCACGTCTGTGCCCTTGTTAGCTAATCGGCTAATCACTTTAACACAACTTGTGTGCTGCGCAGCGGTTCTGTGTTTACCTCCCCTGCATGCACTGCCCCGGCACCACTGCATTCAGAGTGGCCACGTCCTCTGGTTCCCTGAAAGGCGAGGGCCTGCTGAGAACGCGGTACGCCCTGCAGCACCCAGAGGCGGTATCTCCCGCGTCACAAGGCCTCCCGTCACAGGGCCCTGAAGGCCCAGAGGTCTGCCTACTAGTCCCGACATGCACGGAGAAGCCAGCACAGGGCACCTCCCAGGCTGTGCATGTTTCCTCCATAACTATAAAACCCAGATTTGGGGTTTTATTCCCTCTTTCGTTCTACCCAAAAGTTAGTGCTTTCAGAAAAGCACTAAGAACTCATTCAAACCAAAACAATGAATAATGGATTAACACCGAATTTCTCTTTCCAGGGTATTTCTTTTTTCTTCACTTTAACAACAATCTAAGTCTTAGGCATTTTTAAAATTCAAAATCCCCTTTTTGCTCTTTTCTAGGGAGAGCAAGTTCTTTTCTGGGATGACGAGATCTGCCCTGCACCCTCAGCTGCTCCCCGCTGGCAGGACGAGTGGCCCAGAGCACCAATTCACCCCAAAGCCAGGGCCACGCAGGCCATACAGTGGGCCACCTGTCATCCCAGAAGACCGTGGAGAGGGGAGCGCTCTGCAGGGTCAGCTTCTGCCCAGAATGCCCACTTAGGACAAGGACCTCACCCAGGGCAGGCTCCCCGGGGCCAGCCTTTGGAGCAGTCTGTCTCTCCACTCATCCCCACGATCATCACAGTAACCCGAGACATAGCACTAACAACTGCACAGCCACTGCGCACGCCAACTGTGTCAGAGTTCCAGGACCAAAGCCTCTGGACAGCACCGCTGCAGCCTCTGAGGTTGGAGTACGCTTTCCCTCAGTCTCCGACTCTCCACCTCCCAGAGGCTCCAGCCTCTGGCCCATTGTGGTCACAACTTGGGGACAGGGACACCCCAGTGGTGCTTGTACAAAACTTCTGACATTGTGCCACAAATGGTGGCCAATTCCAAGAAGGGGCCAACCACCCACATGAGGTCAGTTTAGAATCAGCAGAGAGACAGCCTAACCTGGAAAGCAGGGTCACACTGTGAGGACACTAGATGCTCCAGGCCACCCAGTGAGGACAGAAGGCCAGTGTGGAGGGATGGCCTTAACAGGCCGGACGTGGCCTCCCTTCCTGGGGCTGGTGCTTTCCCACTGGCGGGGAGGACAAGGTAGTTTCTTGCTGCTGATCTTCCCTTTCTGTGCTGGGCCCAGGCCTTCAGAGGGGAGCTTGTCCCTGAGCCTCGCGGGGAGCACTTGCTTTAGGGAGGCTGCACACTGACGTGAGCAGTGGCAGGAAGCCTCCCATCCACCCTCCTCCGAGTGCTTTCCCAGCGAGGACTGCATCTTACAGTGGCTCTGAGGAACCAGCCAAAAAGGCGTCTATTGTGGAGAGGAGTGGCAGGGTCTGGGGTGGCAGGAAGGCACCTCTGGGTATTTTGTAAAAGGTGGGGATCAGCGTGGCTGAGATGCACCCAAGGGCACTTGTGGGAGCCCTAGACAATCAGGTGTGGTAGCATTCACATCTACTCTCCCTGCCCACCACCTCGCCCTCCTGACCTTCAGGCTCCACGGTCCCAGAGCAGGGAAACCAGGCTGAGAAGCTGTGGTGTCACCCTGTCCTCACTCATGACAACCCCAGCCTCATCACCATGTCACCACCTCAGCTTCAGCTGCCAACTGGAGAAGACATGGCTTCCCCGCATGATCTTCTGTGTGCTCCCAGCAACTTCAGCCAAGGTAGGGGAGCACAAGGAGGCTGGACAGCATCCAGAGTGCTCCCAGCTACTCACAGGAAGGGCCAAGGCTGGGGAGCAGCGCTGGCAGTCACCAGGGAGGACACAGGGAAGCCAGCCAGCCATGGGTCCATTTCCAGGCCCGAACCTGGTGCCCTGGCTGGCCTCCAAAATGCGAGTGCAGAAGAATTCTCTGGCCCTCTTCTTGTAGGGCAGAAGACTGTCCCTGACACTTCCCCAGGAGCCTGGAGCAGATGTGGAGAAGGAAGCCTACGCCACAATACCAGCTGTACAGCAGAACAGCACTGCAGACCCCAAGGCTGCCTCTGGGGAGATCACCACACATGGTACTGGGTGCTTCTGAGGTCCACTGATGCAGGAAACCAGCCCATGGGCCCACACGCATCCACGCGGCAGTACACTGCTCACGTGCCCACCCTTTCCCTTGACCACGGGCCTGACGGCACCCTACGTGGATAAGATACGCACTCTGCACACCCCACCCCTCCTCACCTGTCATCACAGTAGGTGAACTTCATGTCCATGCTGTGGCGGCTCAGGAAGGTCTTGCTGTCCAGGGGGATGTCCATGTGGGACGGGTGCTGGATTGGCTCACACATGACGATGAGGCAGGACAGCAGCGGCTCCGTGTAGCCGCAGAGGCCGCTGTGGGGAGGGCAGCTGTTGTAGACTTTCACCTGGCCGGTGCAGTGCAAGACCTGGGGGCCGGCAGCAGAGGTGAGCAAAGGTCAGGCCCGGCCGGTCCACCCCTGGGCCTCCCGGCAGGCCTGGCTTCTTCCAGCCTACCTTCCAGGTGGCGGACTTCAGGTTGACAGTCCGCCCTCTGGTGGTGACCGTGCACTTCATCCTCATGAAGAAATCCCGTTCTGTGGACACGTCTTTGCCTTTCTTTCCAAAACCAGAGCCTGGATGGGGAGTGGCGAGAGCGGGAACAGGACCAGCTGAATCAGCCTCTCGGGGTGGCTTATTTGTTCCACTTCCCAGCTGTCTGTGTGCATGGGACCTAACGGCTGGGCCGGCATGAACGCCGAGTTCCAACCGGCCCGCGGGCTAGCGATGGCTTCCCACCTCGGGCTTGTCCGCAGCTGGAGCCCAGCCCCTACCCAGCACCCTAGAACAACCTGTAGTCTTGCTTCCCACAGCTACACCCCTCACCCAGGCAGAGCCACTGGCCCCTGCACCTGAGCCTCCAGAGGACCTTGATTTCTGACGTACCGCTGAGTTCCGTGACAAAGCAACTCTGGTACCCTTGAACTGAAAGGAGTCTAAAGGTGAAGGCTTTCCTTGTTGAGAGACTATTCCTCCCTAATGACAGAAGACTCTCTCCTATACTTAAATTATTTTAACATTTTGTAATTTAAAATGTTCATATGTGGGTTCTGTATATAACGAAACACACCTGCTTCTTGGGCTGGGCCCCGCCCCCACGAGGAGGGTTGAGGTGTTTCCAGGGACTCATTTATGACTTTCCCTGGGGGTGTGACTGTGGACTCCTAACTCGTTAACATCTACATTCTCTTTACTTATCCAGTTATGTTCTTCCAGACATAGCTCCAATAACATCACCCTGCCCTTGCTCGAGGACCTTCAATCACTGCCCACTGGCTGCAGGATGAATTCCCAGGCCTCTGCCTGGCCTTCAGAGCCCTCCACAATCACCCTCATGGCCTGTTTTCCTCCAGGAACTCACACCAGCTCTGCTTCTAGATCATGAGTCCACCCAGGCCGGCACATTCGGTGAGGGCCTGCTGACTCACTAAGGTTGACTAATCCCAAATCCCCAACCGTTTACCAAGAGACTTAAAGTTCTGCTCTGATAAAGACAGGCTGCCGTGCTGACAGCTGGCAGTTCCTAGCCTTTGCCTAGCTCGCCACCACCAGCATTTTGAAAAGAAAGATTCCAAGAAAGGCAGAAGTGAGGTGCTTGATTTGGGTCACGGAGTCTGACCTGCCTGACTAGTTAGCGGTGAAGCTGGGTACAAGAAATCGGGGCTCTGTGTTTCTGGACTAGCACAGTAAGAGAGACCTGCCTCAGGGAATGCTTTAGGAAGCCTGCCAGCTCCTCCACCAGGAGCCAACAGGCTACAAAGCAGACTTCCAAGGCCCTGAGGAGCCATGGAATGCGCCCTTGCTTGTGTATGCCAGAAGTCAGGTGGCTGAGGCCTCGAGAGTAGGGCCTGGGGGACAGGCCAGGCATGGCGGTGGAAGGGGCGAGAACGGTCATGCTGCAAAGCTTCGAAGGCCCAGCAGAGGGCTGCAGGCAGTCCGTAGCAAGGGTGGAGGGGCGCCAGTGAAGGGTGCGCCTTGGTGGCATGTGCAGCCACAAGAGCAAGACCTGGCAGGCTTGTCATCACTGGCTCTGTTACTCAAGTTGGACAAGAACGTGCCCCATGGTACAGACAGGCGAGGGATGCTAAGGAGGATGTCTACAAGTGGGAGGAGTCTGCCAAGGCCGGGTCTCGGAGGTCACTGAGCCTTACTGCTGCCTAATGCTTCAGTCCTCTTGACTATCCTCAGTCATGCCCTGGACTGGATGTCCCTAGTTATAAACAGGAAGCCCCACTGTCACTGCAGAGTGCCTTCAGCCTGAGCACAGCCTCGTATCCACAGGCATCTTCATCAAAACCTCCCTGTCCTGTCTCACCTCCAGAATCCTAGATGCACACTGTGGCTCCTGTGGTAGCTCCAAAGGTGGCGTTGGAGAGCCGTGCCTCCTGACATTCGTGGCCACATGTAGGGGCCAGCCTATGCCCTGCCATAACCAGCACCACGGGACATTTCAGGCCTCTGCCTTCATGGCAGCTTCTGCATTTGCACTTCCGGGAGCCCTCTGCAGCCACGCAAGCTGGCTACCATGGAGAGAGCGAGCTCCAGCCACCGCACCGTAGGGCAAGCCCACCTCTAAGGTGGCAGCTTCTCCTGGCCTCCCCATGGCCGCAAGCCACCTTTCCTGTGCTTATACACAGAGGAAGGCAAGTGCCCACCTCGGTAGGACAAGAAGGAAGTAAACCCATGAGAATACTTTACCAGTTTTGAGAGTCAGGTTTTCACGGATCTCCTCGTGGTCGCAGGGATGGGTGAAGTCAAAGATACTATGTCCCGTTAGCTCCACCTGTTCCAAAAACAAGGTTTTGCATTGTTATTCCTAATGCCAAAGTGAGCAACCTGAGATACCTTTCAGACCTGGAGACAAGAGGGGACGACTGCCCCAGATCACCCCTCACAGAGCCTCAAGGCAGGGCCCAGACTCCAGTCACACCATTATAACCAGGACCGTTGATGTGACGGGGCACCCAGTTCCTGAGGGGTGTTCTGTTGGCCTAGTCAGCAGAAAGCGACCTACCTAATGGCCATCAGCAGTGACAAGCTCAGTGGTGGGGAGTGGGTGTATATTCCTGGGGCATATGGTATGGGGACAGTGAGGGCCAGGGTGGGCACTGCAGGGAGAAGTCAAGCGGCACCGTGACCAGCACCTTTCCCTAATTTTTACCCCACAGTGGAAACATTTTTCCTTCTGAAAGAGGCTGAGAAAAGTGTTACCTGGGTGAGTCCCATGAACTTGCTGATGTTTTCTGACAGAAAGATCATGTCACCATCTTGGGTCACCACAGCAATGAAACCCTCTAAAGCTTTCAGGTACAAGTTATCCATCTGCTGGTCAGCCTCCACTTCAGATTCGTTCTCAGAGCAAACTGCAAAGAGAGGGAAGGTGTTGGGAAGCATGCGTGAATTTGGTGTTAAAACAGATGTGACTGGTGGGACAGAGGTCATCCAGGGGCTAGGGCGATGCATACTGCCAGCCCCCTCAGTTTCTGCCACACGCCTACACAGCAGGCACCAGGCGGGCACCGCTACACAGCATAGCCTGTCAGGCTTGAGGATAGCATAGCTGTGGTGGAACAGTGCTTGGGGTGCTGGTAGCGATGGCGGTAACGGTAGTCATGGTAGAACAGTAGTCACTGAGGCTGCAGGGCCAGAGGTGCCAGCTGTTCACGTGTAGCAACTGCTACCTGCGGCACTGTCTGAGGCATTCTGTCATCGTCACAGTGAAGAGGCTTAGAAAGGTTAAGCCATTCGCTGAGGCTAGACAGGTGGCAAAGCCAGAACGACCCAGAAAGTGAATCCAGAAGCCACATCCTGCCATTTCTGTGGTTTGGAGTCCAACACAAGTTGCCTTTCCTGTGTCAGCCTCCCATTAGGCTATGACTTGGGTAAGTAACAGCCTCGCTGAGCATCAGTTGCCTCATCAGCAAAGTGGGGGAATAGTAACAATAATAATTTCCATCTCTTTGAATTACAGGGTGAAGCAGGTACAAGATGCCTAAAATAAGACCAAATAAATGTGAGGTTTTTTTGTTTTTTTCATCTCTTCCCTCTAAAATACTGTCACTGCCCTCAAACTGCTCAAAGCCGAGCTGGGGACAATGTCACCCACAGAGATGCAAAGCTTCGTAGAGATTCGAGGACCTCACAGCTGGGTGTCCAGGGAGGAGACAGAGTAAGCACTTCACAGGGAAGAGGGGCCGTGCTGGGGTAAGACAACTTCCAAAGAAGGGAAACTGGGGAGACTTGGATGAAAAAGGAGTGACTTCATTCTATAAATGAAAGGAGACAGCTTTTTGGGTTGGGCACTGGGACACTTGGCGCAAGTTCTCTTCCAGGGACCAGGCAGCGGGTCCACGCTCCGGCCTCAGGGACAGAGCTGCTGAAGTAGGTCCAGGGCCTGTGGAAACCTCACCTCAACAGAGCACAGCATGGCGTCTCAAGACAGCCGGCCCCTCAGTGTCTGACGCACATCTCTGCAACAGGTGCTGGGTGGGTACCACCACACAGCAGCCCTGATGGGCTTGAGGCTAACAGACAACAGCCTGCTGAGGGTCTCAGAAATGGTGACGCTTAGAAGAATAAAACAGTAGGGAGGCAACTGCATGACTGGCAGGCTGCAGAGGAGGCTGCCAGGGGCAGCTGGCACCACGCCTACCCCAAACCATTCACTTGGCAGTACCTGGCCCACCAAGTGTAGCTCTGCTATCTGTGAAATGCAGATTCAGTTCTTCCCCAGACAAAACACCTTCTCAGGCCCCAGCCCTGTGTCATCCTGGGACCACAGATGTTATTTCAGCCAGCTTTCTCCTGCACCCTTACTTTACTCCACACTCCATATATCTAGAAGAACCTGTATCCATCAGACATCAACTCAAACATCCTTCACTTGATTTACAGAACAAGAGGACTCAAGAGGAACTTGCCACTTCTAATAGTTTGTATTCATTTCGCCAAAAGGAGTCGTTTAAATGGAAGCTCCTCTAGGGAGTGTAAGATGCAATTAGATTCTCAGACCACTTGGCACGTGACCGCTGTGTCGTGCTGACCACGGTCTTTCTGCAGGAGAAGTGGGTTTATTTAATTCCCTTTCTCTGTGAGCCTTTGAATGTAAGCTCAAGGACAGATACAAATGCGGCAACATTCTTCCCAGTGCCTTTGGGACCAGTCTCTTTTAGGACACAGGGCCAGAGAACATGCCAGAGTCCTGGATGCTGCTGTCCTTTCTGCAGAGGAATAGGGTGAGGTCTGTGCAGGCACTGGATGGCCTTCACAGCCAAGGGTGCAGGACAGAGCAGTGGCCTTCTCTTGGGTTACCAAGATGGTGGAACCCAATGAGGGACATTCCTTTGCGTCACATACTTGTGAGTAGTCCCCAGAGGGAAGTAGGGAGGACCGAGTAACAACAGTCTCACAGCGCACTCATTCCCGTCCACCCCTGCTTGGGTCTCTGCTCTTTATCCACTAACCAGCTGGCGGGACAGATGAGGCTGAGGCCGCTAACAGTCACTCTCCCAGGTACCATTCAAGTTGAAGCAGGATCTTTACAAAAGATGACAGCATCACTGAGTGTGTGTATCAGGGCTACCTGGAGGGCTGGCTGAACCAAAGGTCTCTGGGCCTGGGACTTACATAATTTCCAGGGTCCAGCATAAAGTAAATACGTGGGTCTTGTTGTCTGAAAAGTCAAAGCCAAGTCCCTTCTGCATGGGCAGCCTTCCTAGATGGCACCAGTTGCACCCATGAGGCTGGCCACCTGCAGGGGTCCCGATTTGGGGCATCTCAGGCAGGGCTGGGGGTGTGCTTGACTGCTAAGGGCCCAGGTTACATTAGTGCTACTGTTCCTAGAATCAGGACCATGGCCTCGGCTCCAGGTCCTACAAGGAACCCCCATGGGGGAAAATTGGCCACTTGGCCAGGGAGCAACTGCCGGGGGAGTGGCTGAGGAGCGACTGCAGCTCCTTCTGAGTCACACCAGACAGAGAGGCAGCCACTTTCTCTGGCCAGCCAGAGGCCAGCCCTGTGTTTTCAGGCCTATAGAGAAGACATTTTCACTTCAATTTCTTTGATCTCAGTGGTTATACTGACTTCAAAATCTGGAGTAATCCCAAGACAACTTATTTGGGTTAACTAGATCCACAGGAAATAGTTCTGCTTAAAATTTCCTGTTTTTAACAGTTCTAGTGATGCCCAACTGGTTTCCAGGAGGAGGTGAAACAGGCTGCACCAGTGGGTCAGTGGCCTTGGGTGGGAAGGAGGGACGGGGTGCTCTGGGGCCACGAAGGGCGACAGAATGTCTTGGAACCGAGGTCACAATGGCTGGGAGGGCAGGAAGCCAGCAGGTGGCCCCCAGGGACCTGGGCGTAGCAGAGCTGGGCAAGACCTCTTCCTCCCGAGGACTGTGCGCTCTCACGGCACCTGCTTATTCTCTGGGGAGCTCTGGAAGGAGCCGGGTCTGGTCACTCCCAGCCTACAGCCAGCAAGCAGGCACTCCCCCAGGGCTGAGAGGCCCTGGTCACATCTTCGTAGAGGACACGTCGTCTTTTCCCTGTGAACACCAGGCCTTTCCTTGGTGTACCACGAGTGTCCTTCCCTTGGCACTGGGCAGGACAGAAGCGTTCACTCCCTCCAGCGCTGTTGAGCTTTGGCTGTGTGTGTGTGCTCTGTGCTAGGCACAGAATAATTGGTCTCCGAGTGTCACTCGCGACACGATCAGTCTGGTGCCCAAGAGAGCGAGCGCTCCTGAGAGTGCAAGAGCAATCGTGTTCCTCCAGGACTCCACGGGGGTGGGGAAGGCGGAGACGCAGAGCCCCACGGTGACACAATGATGAAGACCGGACCCTCGGCGCAGCCTGAAGTGAGGCGCCCCCGGGAGGTGCCTGCTACAGGCCAGCTGGGCCTCTGGGTCATCTTGGAACCCTGCAGGAGTCGATCCCATAGAGGAGGGACAGGAGTCTGAACCAGAGCGCTCAGCAGAGAGGGAGCACCCTGGGCCTAGGGAGCACGACAGGACTCTTTACTGCTAAAAGTAGCCCCATAAGTAGGCCTCGGGGACACCTGCAGCCAGTGTGTGTGCGCAGCAGAGGCGGCGTCAGAACACCAGCTTCGGAGCACCACTCCTTTCTCTTGGGCAGCACCAACCGGCAGGCATACAGCAGGCACCTCCTGAGCAGGTCTCGGGGCCAGACCATCCTTGTAGGGGCTGCTGGCAGGATGCTAGCCCCGCTCTTCCTCCACTAGGGTCACATGCAGATGTCTTTGCTCGGGGTGGTTGCCATGGCGGCCTCTTTCCTTTCAAAGGCTTTTCCTAAAGGGATTCTTCTCTCCAGTGCTCCCAGCTCCTCCGCAGGCCACCACCTCCTACTCCACCACCTCCTACTCAGCCTGCTGTGCTAGCCACACCGAGAGGAAGCGGGTTTGGAATCACTTGAAAGGTCATCAGCCTCACTGTAGACCCCCCATCACAGACAGGCGCGGGCTGTGGGCACCCCTGTGACAAAAGGTGGCATCCTGCCTGCCTTTCACGTTCCCAGGGACTCCCTGTGAGAGTACCACTGTGGATCCGGAGTCACTATGCATCTGCTTTTTTTTTTTTTAAATTTTGTGTACTTGGTACAAGGTCTCACTCTGCACCTTGGACTCGTAGTGATCCTCCTGGCTCAGCATCCCCAGTGCCGGGATCACAGGCATGTGCCACCACGCCTGGTCTTTGCTGTTTCTATCTTACCCCTGTATCACTCTTCCTAACATCTAGCGCAGTCCTGGCTTTGGCACACGCCAGCTGATGGACTGATCTTTTTTGTTGAAGTTAGAGGACTGGTCTGAGTGAGGCTAGAATTTCTAGAAAAGCTGTGCTCAGCCATTAAGCCATGGAGCAGCTTCCCGCCTTTCTTCCAAACAGTACAGAAAAAGGTCTTCATTTGGACTGTAGGTGGGGCCAGGGTGGGACAGAAAAAACAAGGTTGAAGGCCAGGGAATTGAAGTCTGAAAGCAGGGCATAAGAGGGCACCAGAAATCCTCTCTGCTCTTATGGGTTTGCTCCCTCCGTCCCGCTCTTCCCGCACAGAAAGCTTACGATAAAAACTTTAAGGGTATTTATCCCACATTTTAACATCTTTCTCTCAGTAGTCAAGAGAACAGGAAATCATAATCTCTTGCGAAGATTACGTCTTCACTAGGCAAATACCAAGAATCAAAAATAAAGCTGACATTTCCCTTTAGACACCTGCTTCTTGCGGACCTCCAGCTCCACGGACAATGCATCTGACCTCAGCGGGCGCGAGGCTGGGGAAGCCCTGAAGGAGTCTGAGGTGAGACGCGCATTCTGTGCAGTTACTGCTATTTACAGCACCAGAGTGTAGAAGTGACCCTTCCTCTGGCCACAGCGTGTGGGGCTCATCTTGAAAGAGGATTTAAGACAATCAAGTGGCGTTTCCATCAACTTTCCCGGCAGAGCGCGTTCTGTCCTCAGCCCAGCGTGGAAGCGAATATCATAAAGCTATTGTTTCAGTTTGTTTCCTGTGATACGAATCTCAATCAGAGGCCCCGACCCACAGCCTGGGCTTCTCAGTGCTGAGGCTTCCTCTCCAACGTTCCCACACACAACAGCCTACTGTGAAAATCAAAGGGAAGCATGTTACTAAGTAAAGAAGACATTTTTCTGAAGCCAAAGCTGGTATTTTTTAGCCTTTTGAACTGTGAGCTATGCAACCAGTTATTTCCTAGTATAAAGGGAGACAACACTAGTCCTTGCTCACCTTGGTCAGAAATGCTTAAAAAATGAATTTGTGGTTGGTTCTGAGCTGGAAAAACCTGGCAGCTTTCCACTTTGATAGGGATTGCTGAAACGTACGTACTAGGATCGTCACGATGTACCCTGAGATTTCTTTTACAACATTTCTCTAGAAGCCTTTTCTGTTTACCATCAGTCAGTGTTCCTGGTCATAATCATTTTTATTTCTAAGCTATAACTTATTGGGAAGGCAAGAGGATAAGGCCTTTTATATCAGCTTAATTGTCTAGCAGTGTTGGGGAGGTATCCCAACACTGTCTAGTCTAGTGCTGACGACCAAACTAAGGTTCAAAGAGAGAAAGAAATGTTTGGAAGGTTGAAGAGAGAGAAAGAGCGAGCGTGAGAGCATGAGAGAGAGAGAGACAGAGACAGAGACAGAGACAGAGACAGAGACAGAGATAGAGAGACAGACAGAGACACAGACAGACAGACCGACCTACCAACCACACTGAGATGCAAACACAGGGCTATCTGCCCATCCATCCTAGACCCCTTTCATTATACCCCACCTATTACAAACAGCAAGGTAGGATTTAGAAATAAAAAGAGCCTGGCTTACAACTTCTGAAAAGAGTTTTCATAGCTGGTGGGGAGGGAGGAGTGGGAGTTGAGAAACTGTCTCCTCCTTCCCTGGCTGTACTCATTTTATGAGAACTTCTCCTTCAAGGACACCAGGACCAGATGGCCTGGAGTAGAAACTTTTTATTCTTTTCTGTTATTTCTCTCCTTGGGACAGCGAGGCCCAGAGCTGACAGGCAGAGGGTTCTGGTGGACAGTGGGTGAGTCAGGCCAGAGGGTAGGTCACTCACTGGGTTGCATAAGGCACCACAGCTCCAGAGCTGAAGCGTGTGACTCCGGCTAAGGCCACTCTGGTCCTGTCTCTGTGGCACCCCCGGGGGTCTCACTGGCACATGCCCAGGCAGCTGTGCTCAGAGGGTGCAGATTCTGATGCGCTGCCCCCTGCAAGCCAACCTCGGAACCGCTGGGGACAACAGTCTCACCTGTGGGTGAGCAGGGGCCACCAGGCCCTACACCAGAAGGAAGGGCAGGAGCAGCTGCACGTGGTGGGGATCCTCTGCCCACCCACTGCTGGGGCCAGCCTCGGTCAGCCTCCCTCTGACCGTGGTTCTCTCCCCTTGTCCACATCTCTACCTGCCCGTGTTTATAGACTCCTCATGCCTCATCACGTCTTTCTTCCTCATGGACCAGGGCTCCAGGTGTACATTTAGTCTAAATGTGTGACTTTGAACAATCTTAAAATTTCTGTGACTCACTTATTGTGAAACAAAGAAATGTTCAGACTACATGCAAGCCCAGAGGTGTAATAGGATTAATATATTAGCTTTTGGGGTTAATATAATCCTGGTGGATGGAAGGAGGTAGTACTGAAGGGAGCAATGGTTAAACCAAGAAATTAGTATCTACGAGAAGAATTTCAAGTACCAGCAAGGAAGGATGGGTGTAGGCAGGACTCACCCTCCGGTCACCACATGTCCTGCTGTCCACTTCATGCATATGTAAATATGACACCAACACTACCGAGCAAAGCCTCCAGATTTTTAAAATCTATTTATTTGGTACACGGTCTTACTATGCAGCTCTGACTCATAGTGATCCTCCTGTCTCAGCCTCCCCAGAGCTGGGCTTATAGGCACGCGCCACCATGCCTGGTTTCAGGGGCCAGCACAGCGCACAGTCCTGGGGACTGAACCCAAGTCCTTGCCCTTGCCTGGCAGGTGCTTAGACCACTTAGCTATCTCCCTGGTCCCCGCCAGCTTTTTAGGAAGACAACCACTTTAAAAGGAATGGTCACGCATTGTGGACACACCTGCCATCTAGCTACTCGGGAGGTCGAGGCAGAAGGATCATTTGTTTGATCCCAGTTTGGCAATTCAGCAAGACCCTGCCTCAAAGTAAAAGGGCTAGGGATGCGATTCACTGACAAGAGTACTGCCTAGCGCGGGTTCAGTCCCCACCAGTACCACCAAAGAAAGGAAAAAGGAAGAGGCCCTCAGGGCCTGTGCTGTGGTCCAATCTCCATCCACAATCCCAGCTTTGCTCTGGGTGTGCGGAGCGCCCTCTGCCCTCGTTCTCCCCTCCAGGGTGTTCTCCCTGCTCGGCCTGCAGCCCTGGGCCCCGAGCGAGCCACGTCCTCTTCTCTGAAGGTCTTTCCCCCGTATCCTTCCTGTGCTCAGTCTCAGAATAGCACAGGCCAGCCTGGCTTCCCTGCCTCACTGGATTCCCTCCGAGCAGGGGCTTCTTTCCCAGAATACCCGCGTCATAACAGGATGGCAGAGCCCACTTGTCTCCCGGGCACCTCGCTCCCTCCGGAAAGCTGACAAGCAGCCACGAAAGCCCCTTCGCTCCCTCACTGCCTCCCTCACACGCACCCTGGCAGGCACTGCCACACGCTGCCCGTTTTCTTTATAAAACCAACCAACTGGATGAGACTGTCACACAGCAGCTGAAACCGGGCAGTCTCTCAGGCCACCTTCTCCAGGTCAGGACTGACAGGAAATGGTTTTTGAAGAAAGTAATTTTCTGGGATGAAAAGAACATTTTGTGACCTGAGGCTGCAGAGGACCAGGGAGGGTGACACTGAGGCTGTCCATAGCCAGGCGCTGCCCAGCTGGACCGAGTCCAGCCTGACCATTGTCTCTGTCAGTTCCCACAGGCACCCCGCGCAGAAGACACACCTAACTATTCTGCAGGAGCAGAGCTGGGCTTTGGCTGGCCAAGTGATCTTCTGCTGGCCTAACTGACTAGAAAGAGGTGAAAGGTGGAAAGGGCCCGCCAGCTCTGCAGACCGGAAGGCAGAGACCAGAGCACTTCCTGCAGGCTGACCCTTGCAGGAAGAGGGTCTCACGGCCAGATGCAATAGCACTGGCAAGTCGGCCAAAGCTGTGCTGGCTCGCCACTCTCCTGGACTCCCAATGGCCCCTGCCCATGCTCTCGCCTGGTCCTGTCCTTGCCTCTTCCCCTGGCAGTCCTCATAGTAAACGTCTATGCTGCAGCAGGAGACAAAGGAAGAAAGCATAGACCGTGGCCTTACTGTAAGTGGGCTTTTGCAGGGTGTGGTGTCCGGGGGCAGAGCCTGTGTCTGTGGTGCCCTGGGGCCTCTGCACGTGTGGCAGTGTAGGTACAGCTCCCACCCACACCCCCCTGGGGACTTGCCAGCCTCACCTGATGACAGGAGCTTGTGTGTCCGCAGGAAGCTGATAGCCAGCCGCATGATGGAGGCCTTGTCCAGGTGTGAGCTCACACTGTGCGGCAGGGGCAGCTCATGGGCCAGCTCGTAGAAGACCTCTGTCTCCTTGCTACGCCGGCATCTCGCTGCATCCCGGGACTTCTCCTTCCTCCTCTCGGAACTGCTCCTAAAAGAAGAGACGAGGCGTGAGTGCCTCCCAGGTCACTGTTATCCTGTTACATCCTTGATCGAGATGTGGTTGTGGCTCCCCCAGACCACATATACCCCAACTTTCCCACTGAGGCAGTCTGGGCTCGCACCAGTTGCCCAGGTTGTGCAGAATGTACTTCAAGTTGTTGATGTGGTGTTCACGTGTGCTGGTGTCCTCTCAAGCGCCTCTCCACCCTAGCATTCCCGTGGTGCCCATAACATGGCTTTGCATGGGTGGGGCTCAACAAGGACTTGCGAGTAAATTACCTGGTGATGCCTGGCACCTAGTCCTGGGTAATCTGGGGCCAGGGTTCACTGTCCTGAGATGGAAAAGAAAAGGGAAGGGAGGTATACTCAGTGACCCAGGCGGCTCTGACAAAAGCTCTGGAGAATAAGATGAAAAAGTGCTTCCAGATTCTCTTTTTCTGGATAAGATACACTCAGAAAACATTAAGCCCAGTCTTGCACCTTGGGTCGCTCCCATTTTATACCAGAATGGTTCCCCCAGTAAGCTGAAAATGCTCTTCTAAGAGCCCAGGAAGAACGTGCTTCAGTCGGAGATCTCAAAGTGCATGCCCTGCCAAGGGCTGAAAAGGCCTGGCACCTACGACCACGCTTTCTTCCTGAGTCCTGGCAGCTCAGTTACAGTCTGGCTCATGCTCCTCTTCCTCCTTGCTTCAGGAAGGAAGGCAAGACAAAACACACCAAAACCTGCCTCGGCCAGGAAGTCCCCAAGAAATCTTCAGTCTTCCTGTAAAGCCTGTGTTGAATTCTAACTCAGGTAAGTTTAAAAGCCAGGATGTCCGAGTGGGAATTCTAACGTCTCCACTAGCTAGCTCGAAGATGCTCAGCCTCAGTTTCTCATTTGTAAAAATTTCAATAATTACACCCATCCCACAGAATTATTACTAAGTGTGATTTCTTATACAACATCTTTAACGCCAGGCCTAGACCAACCAGAAACAATGTTAGCTAATATTAGTAAATGGTTTGTCAATGAAAAGATAACCATGAGTAAAAAAAGCTATGAAATAGTACTGGACAATCCTATGTTCACAGAAAATTCAAGTTGGGTTTTTTTTTTTTTTATGTATTTAGTACAGGGTTACAGGGTCTCACTACACAGATTGGACTCGTAGTGATCCTCCTATTTTCATCCTCCCAAGCACTAGGATTACAGGTATGTGCCACCGTGCCCAGTCTCATTGCCATCTCAGCACACCCCGGGGGTGGGGCTGGCACAGCACACCAGGGATCTAGTCTAGGTCCCTGCGTCTGCCTAAACAGGAACTTTAATCCACAGAGGTATCTGGCTAGTCCTCAAGTATTACATATGGTTTTTTTTTTTTACAGTAAATCTCCGATTTACAAAGTAGTTCAGTTTCAAGAGAATATTCTTAAGTAGGATTCATTAGTAACTGACAAAGTGAATCTTACACGGCATACTGCAAATCTTAAACAGTATGCCTGTGAAAATTTGCAACTCAGGTTCATAAGTTAGATACTTACTGTATATTATACAGGCAAAAGCCAAGAAGGATAATAAACTATTATTATAACCATCCCAGACATAGGGCTTACTTTATTCCACATATGAGTTTAAGTGGTACCATGTTAGTGTCTTTAATTTGCACAACTATCCTTGGAAATGGGTTTTGAGAAGGAAATGGGAGGGGAGACAGAGAGAGAGAGAGAGAGAGAGAGAGAGAGAGAGAGAGAGAGAGAGAGAGAGAGACAGAGACAGAGCCAGACAGACAGACAGACAGAGCCAGACAGACAGATTCACGTGTGAATGCTGGCAGGTAAATGGGGACAAGCATGGGGCTCTGCACTTGACAGAAGGCCTGGAGCCCTCCTGCCTATGCTCAAAACAGTTGCAAAGGGATAAGGCTAGGAGCAGTGGCCCCACGCCCCGTGATTATCTGTATTTTCTTCTATTTCTACAAATAACCTACATTGGTTGTTTAATAATGAAAAAAGTTTATTGTTTTGCTTTGTTTTGTTTTTGTAAATGTTGGATACAATGTGTGGTTTTCAAGGCTCAGGAAAGCCAGTTCCAGCGACCTTGCTCTGTCCTGCCCTGGGACATGTCCCAAACCAGGGGCTCCATGTCCTTTTTTTTTTTTTTTTTTTTGCTTTGTGGCTTGTTATGTGGATAGAAAAGTCAGTACTTGGGGATTCATGGAATGTTGACATGCCTCTCAAACCCCTCAAGAGACTCAGAGAAGAAGCGCTGTTCTGATTTTACGACATACTTCGTTTACAAAGACAGAACGCCCAGCTCCCAGGATGAACTAAATGTTATACACTTAGACTGCAAGAAGAATTTGTCCAACAGCTGCAGACAGTCAGGAAGAACTTTCAAAAATTGTGAAATTCCTCCCCCACCCCGACCTCCCACCCCTGCACCCTATCCACCACCTTCTCAGAACTGAGCCTCACCATGAATTTGCTTTTATAGCCAGACCTTTTTTTTTTGTCTTTTTGAGGCAGGGTCTCGCTATGCAGTTCAGGCTCGCCTTGAGCTCCCTGTGTAGCTCAGGCTGGTTTCACACTTGTGATGATCCTCCTGCCTCAGCCTCCCGAGTGCTGGGATTACAGGCATGGGCCACCATGCCTGGTTTATAGCTAGAGTTTAAAGACAGTTTGTGTGTCAGTCCCTCAGATTTTCATTTTAATCCTGACCTCTGATGGGGTAGAAGTTTGCAGGCATTCGGCACAGGAAGGGAAGATGGGAGGGGAAAGCACATTAACCCTGCACACATCACATGACCACTGGGTCCTGAGAGTCAGGTTCCAGTTCAGCGCCAATGCCTACACTCTCTGAGCGGAGCATTCTTATCCCGTACTCCAACCGTCAGGCACATACAGAGAGCATCTGGGTGATTAGATCTAGCACCTGAGGAGCAGGATTAGGAAGCAATGTCCACATTCAAAGGGCCAGGAGAGGAAAGGGGGATAAGGGAATCTGTGTTGTAGAATTTGGCAGACTGTCCAGCCAACCATGCCAACTCCTACAGCGCTGGGGGTTTTCACCCAGCACAGACTGGGACATTAATAGCAATATCTGAATGCACAAGGTCCCTGTCCTGGGAAAGAAGAGCTCACATGGTGGTGAAAAGCCAGAAAGCCAAAAGCCAATCCGAAGTCAGGGTTCTGTTGGTCCTGTTCCCACAGACACACCAGTGTTTACTGACACCCACCTGCGTGCCTGCTGCTGCAGGACGTGCGCCTGTTGACTCACTATAATCTTCTCACCCTAACGACATGGTCAGAGGTATCACAAGCTTACAGATGTGGAAACTGAGGTTCAGACACACCATGTTGTTTGCCGAGGTTCCCAAATTGCTGCCTCCACAAGCCACTGGAGCCCGTGCGCAGACACCTGGGAGTCCTGAGACGCGGGCGTTTCCTGTCCAGCTTCGTCTTACAGCTCTCCAAGGGAGGCAAGGGAGGCACTGCCAGCCTTTCAGAGGCTGTAAGCAGACTCAACCAGGTTAGATGACTTGCCTTAGGCAGCTGGCTAATTGTGATGGGGACAGAGCCCAACTCTCCCAAACGAGAGTAGGAAGGAAGAAACAGCGACATCGTGATGTGTAGGGAAAGAGACATAGACAACCTTAGGCAGCCTCTTGGTTTAAAAGTTGTGTCCTCCGCCTTAGCTGCCTCGTCTCTCACATTTACACTTTGGGACAGGCAGCATCTTAATTAGGTGATCTCGTTAACCTCGACGCAGCCCAGAGACGTCTGTTGAATGCTGACACTCAAAAGCACACAAAATGTGTAACACTGCAATCACTTCACTAGTGACACTGAAGAACAAGAATAATTGATACTGAGATGAAGGGAAGCCTTCCCCCGACCCAACCCAAGCGTGTACATGGTTCGCCTGCTTCCAACCCCTGTTGTCACGGGTGGAGACGGGGTCAGGCAGAAGTTGCCCTCCATACTATCTGACTACATTCTCTAGGCTCTGATATCTGCATCCGGGAAATGGGATGAATCCCGTGTTTTATTTCTCAGAAACAAAGGGGATGAGTGTGGCAGCCCCTGAAAGCTCCCCAGTGACAGCCATCCTGGTGGCCGAGAATGGCTCATCATCTAGCCAACCTGAGCGCTGGTCACACTTAGGTTCTCTGATACCACCTGCTCTTCATCAACAGATACACTGTCTCGGGGCTCAAAGGGGGCATGGGGCGGCTGGTCCTGGCCAGTTCTTTGTGCCATGCTGCTAGATCTTGTTCGATCAGTGAGGTGGTTCGTTTCCTAAACACTTGTCCTCTTTTCCCCCTCTTCCTAGATGAGTCCTGTCATTAACTGAAATCAAGGAGATTTGTTCTTTAATGGAAATCCTAAAATTTACACGTCATTAAGAGAACCAAAAACAAAACAAAACAACCAAAATGAAACCAAACCAAACCAAAAAACAACAAAGAAAACCCCACCTTAACCTAACACTCATGATCAGAAAAGACTCAATTTTTTTCCTCCAAATAGTTCTCTTCTCCCCCATCCATTGCTTGACACTTGGAGCCCACGTTCTTTTTATATTTTGTATTCATTTTTTGCTTATTTAGTACAGCATCTCATTATGCAGCTCAAACTCACAGTGATTCTTCTCTCTCAGCCTCCCCAGCACTGGGGTTACAGGCGTGCGCTACCATGCAGGTTTTGGTGGTCAGCATGATGCACCCCAGGTTCTGGGGCCAGCACAGAATGTAGACCAGGGATCAAACCCAGGTCCTTGTGCTCGCCAGGCAGGTGCTTAGACCACTGAGCTATCTCCCCAGTCTCTGGAGCTCACGTTCTAAAGGTGGCCCTGCTTACTGCATCCTCATGTAGAGCACCCCCAGCAGTGTCCCCTGAGTTTGCACTGGGCCCTGCGGTCCCTGGACTGCAAGCAGGAGCCACAAATCTTATTCTCCACGATGACGCAGTCGAGTGAGGGAGCCAACAAATTTAAATGTCTTCATTGAC